GCCAGGAGGGCTGCCAGGCACTCTTTCTCGGTGACGGTGTAATTCACCTGGTGCTTATTCATCTTCGCCGAGAACAATGGTATCGGCTGCCCTTGTTTGCCCTCGTTCTTTTTGGAAAAGAACGGCTCCAACCCCAATGTGTGATACGTCACACTGAATATAAAAGTGCCGCTTGAAATCGGCGTGCACCAGGACTGGTGCCGTGGTTAGCGCCATCTTCAAGGCTTCCACTGCCAGCTGCGCTTCCGGACTCAATGAAAACTTGTTCCCAGTTTTCTTGAGGGATTCAGTCAACGGCGCTGCTAGTGTTGCGAAGTTTCGAACGAATCTCCGATAAAAGCCTGCTGTTCCCAGAAACGCGCGCACCTCCATCATCGACCTCGGCTCCGGCATCCTCCTGATTGCCGCCACTCTACCGGGATCCATGCTCAGACGACCTCCACCCACGACGAAACCCAAGTAAGTCAAAGACTTGAAGCAGAATTTAGATTTATTCATGCCGATAGTTAATCCTGCTTCTCTTAGCCATTCGGCGACTCGTCGTAGGTATCGGAAGTGCGTCTCGATGTCCGGGGCCAGAATGAGCAAATCGTCCAAGTACACAAATACGTTGGATCGGGTCTCGGGTGGGAATACTCGATCCATGAGTCTCACCAGCCTCTGTGCCGCATTACAGAGCCCGAAAGGCATCACCCTGAATTGGTAGAGGTAACGACCAGGAACTGTGAACGCCGTCAACTCCTTGATCTTCTCGTCCAGTTTGATCTGCCAGAACGCAAATTTCAAATCCACGCTGGAGATGAAATGCGTTTGATCGATTCTGGACAGGATTCCGTCGATACTAGGCAAGGGGTAAGCGTCCTTGACGGTCACGTCATTTAGTTTCCTGGTAGACGCCACAGAACAGAACACAACAGAATCTATTCTTTCCAGGCTTCGACACCACTGTCGTCCGGTTGCTCCAAGGGCTCTTGCTCTCCTCGATGACTCCCAGGGCTAGCATCTTGTCGACTTCGTCCTCGACCCCCTTTTGCTTCGCTGGAGACATCGGGTAGGGTCGGACTTTGAAAATTTTGGCGCCTTCCACCAGCTCTATGGAATGTTTCTCCAGGCTAGTCGTTCCCAAACCATCCTTCTCGAAGGTGAGGAACCTCTGCTTGATTTCCTCTAACTCTCGGTTCTCGGCATCAGATAATGTCCAGGATTCGGGATCCGTCTTTTCCTCGTCGTCATCTTCCTGGTCGGCGTAGTGCTCCATCTCCCTGGCGTGAACTTCTTCGGCTTTCTTCACCCCTTGAACCGGGATATCTCCAACTTCGGTGAAGCCAGGTCAAACGCCCGTCAAAAGTCGACGCCGAGGTATGCCGCCTGTCCCAGATAAGGGCACAGATAGAAATGAATGTTTTCTACCCTTCCCTCATACTCCACAGGTACCTCTATCCGTCCGATGATTGACCGATCCTCTCCAGCGGCAGTTCGCACCACCGAGAAGTACCTCTGCACCGGCACACCCATCGCGTCCACCAGTTCCCTGCAGCCTTTTCCGAGCAGACTGACGCTCGCCCCGGTGTCCAACAACCCAGTCAGCTGCTGGCCTGAAATCGTTCCCCGGGCGAACGGTCTGGGATCCTGGGTGCCGCCCCGCTTGACGGCCGCGACGACTTCTCGGCGCTTCCGCTGGCGTTTCCGAAACCGATCTCGTGCCTTTCGAACCGTCCGGGAGACCTCACGCATGCCGCTCAGCTGATGCTCCTCGAATATACGGTTCCTGACCTCTAAATACCGTCGCATGCGCTCTTCATAGGGTAAGTACCTTAAATTATTTGTAGAATTATCCTTAACGTCTATCTTGTTATTTTTTGGGTCTCCTACTGCGCGGAATTCCGCGTTGGGCGAGCCCCTTCCGCTCTGGGATCGCCCCGCCGTCCGTTTCCCATAAAATGCGGGCACTTCGGAGCGACGGTGTCGACCTTTCCGGAACGGAAACAAAAAACTTTGTTCAGCTCCTGCCCGCAATCCCGAAAGCCGTGGTCCATGGCTCCACAATTCCAGCAGCCAGCCCGGAAAGGATTTCGAGGCCGCTCCCGAACTTCCTGCACTTGCAGTGGTTGCTCGTCTTCATCCTCCTCTGGCTCTGGAGCGAACGCCTCGCTGACTCGGTTCCGTTCCGATCCTTGGTAGCGCGTTGGTGGTGGGAATTGGGCCCGAGCTCTGCGTCCGAAGGTACGCTCCACCTCGAGGCTCTCCTGCTGCAGCTCATCCACAGTGAGTAGCTCCATCGCATACATGAAGCGAGCGATCCCTTCTCTTAACCCTTTTTTCATCACCTTAACCAGGTGACGCTCCGGCATCGGCTTCCTCAGGCGAGAAGCAAGGGTTTGCATCGCGTGCAGATAATCATCTACGCTCTCCCCTGGTTGCTGCTCCCGCTGCAGTAGCTGATGCATCCGCTGATGCTCCGTCTCGTGGCTCTGGAACCGATCTAGCAGCGCTCGGCGTAGCTGATGCCAGCTGTCCAGTCGGTGCTGCAGCACGTGGATCCAAAACCACTCCAGGGCCCTACCTGTTAGCAGCGTGTGGAAATTTCTCATCACCTCGGCCCATGAGCAACGCGATTGCCACTGGAGGTACTCCAAGCGAAACAGGAAGCCTTCGATGTGGTTCCGCTCGTCCTCACCGCTGAACGAGACGTTCCACCTATCCACCCTTGTGACCTGGGGACTGACTCCTGCATCCCAGTTGACGTACGTCCGTTCGTCACGGAATCCGCCGGCGCGGCGGTCCTCGACACGCCAGTTCCGACCAACGCTGTCATCCCGACGCGTCTCCTCAACCTCGGTGGAACCGTCGGGGCTGAATGAGTAGATCTCGGCTGGATCTGGCGCCCTCTTGGGCGGCTTCGGCGGAACTCGTGGCGTAGGCCTCGTTGCATGACCGACGGACGTCTGTCCATGCCTGGGTACCGCTCCGCGGGCGTCGTGCACGGGCTCCCTCGCTCGTCCAAACGGAGGTGGTGGCTGCTGTGGGCGCTGTTGTTGTCCTGTTGCTGTCGACTGCTGCTGCTGACTCTCGATCCCTCCAGGTAAGTGCTGCTGCTTTGTGGCGGGTCTCAAAACTTCATTAATCAGCTTCATCATTTCCAGAAACCCGGCCCGCATCTCGTCCCGCAAGCTCTGGCTGATCCCATCTTCTTGGGTCTTGCGGTATGTTTCCGCCGCCTGAGCCAGGGCGAGGTTCACCGCCGACTTGGCTGTGGAATCTACGGGCGGATCTTGAAAATGTACTGCCCGCTGAGCGGGATCCATTCCCATCAGATGGTCAGCTGTGGCCCCGATCGCCTCGAAGTCCAGCAATTTAGTCTTTGCTTGCTCTCCCGGCTCCTCCAGCTGTTGGTCTTGCCGCCTAGAAGGGGGTGTCCTCGGCAACCCCATGGAGTCCCGCGGCGGCGCGTGCCCGACAGCACCCTCCCCATCTGTGGACCACAACTCCTCTTCCTGGGCTGAAGGACCCTTCGACCTGAGCTGGTAATTATTTCCCCTGTCCCTGTCCATAATCCAATTCTTTAATTCCTAACCGCTACCGACTTTATTCACAAAATAAATAAATATGTAAACATAAATAACCTAACATAAATAAATTCACATGCAACAAACATGTAATTAAATAACTCAATACATAAGTAGATCAATAAATAAATAATTAAATGGAGAAATAAATATACGAATAAATAGATAAATAAATCTTCTTCTACCTGCATACGCTACCAAAAAAAATTCACTAACTTTTCTTTTCCCTTCTAAATTTCAGGGGAGATGGAGCCGATTAACCGCCGGTGGACTCCGCGTCAGAAGCTTGCGTCTTCAATTGTCCCGTGTCGTCCCTAATCCGGCCATTCGTCAACTGGACTAACTTTCAGCTGGGCTGAAAGTCGCCAGTTAAGGACATGGGCCGTCAGCAGTATTCCGTAGGATTTTCCTCGATGGCTGGAACTCCGAGGCTCTGATCGTGGTGGTCGTGCAGCGCGCAGTGGGACCTGCGGGTCACGACTTCACCAACAGGATGATACCAGGAAACCCCTTCCGCCAGGAAACCCCAAGGATCTGCCCAACATTTACATTAACATCAACATTAACATTAACATCGAAAACAACCAAACTTTACGCTAATATAAATAAACACTTATATCCGTATCTACAATATATCACAGTTTATATCACAATGGTTCTGGACTCGTGCTTTATGCACGGTCTGTGGTTAAGGGGTGCGAATCCGCAAGCCACCGAATGCGAGGGCTGGATGACCTAGGACGTAGCCTTTCGAGACGTCGTCATCCCGCTATTCTTTTATTTGTTTTTTTTAAGTTTGGGCGCCATATTGTAACGGAACTGCATCCTTTCTCGGGCAACGCCAGGCTAGCTCAGTAGGCCCAGGGCTGGGTCCGACCCAATGCCCGCAGTCCGCACAATTAAATATCGGAATAAATCGGACGTCTCTGACAACACTCCTCACGAACCACAACTCTCATCACTAATTACAACAACGACAGAAAAAAATTTAAATAAACAATTAAATCAAGACGGACGGACACGGCTGAGAAAAATTGGTGGCATTGGTGTTTCTGCCACGACGCCCCACCCATCCTGTGATGCCTCCTGGTTATCTAGGGGCATCACCCATCTCCGGCGGACCGGAGCCTATTCCAGGCGGTCTGGCGACCGGCTCTCCTCCCCCAGGTAAACTGGTCTACTCCGCTTTCATAATAATATTTGATTTTAATTTATATTCACAAACGTATACTCCTTTTTGCTATTGGTCCTCACCCCACTTCCGGCAAGAGCGTGGCCTTAGCCAGGGATGCGCTTGCGCCAAGGCTGTCTGTTTTGGGGACTCAAAACTCCCGGAGAAGAAGCCTTCTATGATTCGGCCTCAATCGGCCACAAAATTATGTTTCCCTCTTTGTTCCCTAATCCCTGCTGGAGCTCCAAGAGAAATATAGGGGTATGGGTGCTCGCAACAAAAAAAACAAGAAAGAGAAAACGACCGGCTTCTACTCCGTTCCCCTTGGATCACAGCGCTCGTGTTGCACCAACCCCGGACCCAGGATACGGTCGAGCGGAGGATACGGGTAAGGAACGAGTGAAACACAAAACACTTAATATTATCATAAATTAAACAGCAAACTAAACTAACTAACTAAACTACAGTACAGATTTAGTACATAAAATCAAAATTCGTAGTTTTTAACCAGAAGCAATTGCTCGAAGACCGCACCGGCACCACCACAGCCACAGCCATCCACGACTCCTCCATCGACGGCACCACAGCGGGAGCGAGAGCAGCATTTGGAGGAGGAGCAGCCACCGCCTGTGTTGGAGGATCAGCAGCAGCATCCGGCCCTACAGTTGCAGGATCAACAGGTGCAGCAGGAGTTGCCGGTTCAACCCTTCCAGGATCACGAACAGCAACAACAACAGCACCTGCACCAGCAGCAGTTATCGGCAGAGGAGCAGGATCGTCAAGGGCAGGAGCCGTACCCAGATCAGCCGCAGCCGGCTCAAGACGCTTCTCTGAATGAGGATCAATCGGCGAGGGAAGCTCAACTACTTCAGGTCCAACCGGATCCCATAGCCGAAGCAGAAGTCGAACATCTCCTCCTCGAAGACGTGGACGAGCAGGAGGACTCAGAGTCTCAGGAGCTGCCAGGACCGCCGCCGCCACCTGTCATGATCATTGACGAGAACTTAGAGGTCAACGCCGAGGTCGTGGAGGACGAAGACGACGCTGAGGTTGTAATCGAAAGCGTCCAGATAGTGGGCAGGTAGTTTGCCTCCCCCTCCGCCTATATTCGGGCCCTGCGCCTGCACTCACGTCACTCGTCGAGAGTTGCACCACTGCCCCAGCTGGTCCGGGCGCCACGAACCGCCAGCAACGATACCAGCAACAACACCAACAACAACAATAACAGTAATAACAACAGCACTGGCAATTCGCGACGCACTCGCCACTTTTACAGCAACAACGGCCGTCACTTCAGCAACGACATGTTTCCCAGCCACGCCCCCCGGACCAGTGCCCAGGGCTCGCCCCGGGTGGGCAGCGGAGGACGTCGCAACCAGCACTCGGCCCGCACTTCCGCCTCCAATTCGCCGCAACACAAGGGCGTTGATCCCTAGAGACTGCTGTATCCCAATGTCAACGAGAGCGAGACTCCGCTGCCGCGGTGCTGGAGTCCGCACGACAAGTGCTTGTCCATCGGACTGTCGCAGAATAACCTGAGGGTTACATACAAGGGGGTAGGGAAGCAGCACAGCGATGCTGCCTCCGTGCGCACCGCCTACCCGATCCCGTCCTCCTGCGGACTGTACTACTTCGAGGTGCGGATTATCTCCAAGGGACGCAACGGGCATCGGCCTGACCGCCTAGCAGTTCCGAATGAACCGCCTGCCAGGTTGGGACAAGCAATCAATCACGGCGACGACGGCAACTCGTTCAGCTCCTCCGGGAATGGACAGACATACGGGCCCACCTTCACTACCGGCGACGTTATCGGCTGCTGCGTCAATTTTGTGAACAACTCATGCTTCTACACGAAGAACGGCGTGGATCTGGGCATCGCATTTAGGAACTTGCCGACCAAGCTTTATCCAACTGTGGGCCTGCAGACGCCCGGCGAGGAGGTGGACGCCAATTTTGGCCAGGAGCCCTTCAAGTTCGACAATATTGTGGAAATGATGAAGGAGATGCGCTCGAGTGTACTGCGCAAGATTGACAGGTACCCGCACCTGCTGGAAACCCCGGAGAACCTAATGAATCGATTGGTCTCCACCTATCTGGTGCACAATGGCTACAGCAAGACCGCAGAGGCCTTTAATGGCTACACAAACCAGCCCTTCGACGAGGATCTCTCTTCCATTAAGACGCGTCAAAACATCATCAAGCTAATACTAACTGGGAAAATGAGCCAGGCCATTGGGCACACCCTGCGGTCCTATCCCGGGCTTTTGAAGAACAATAAGAACCTCTGGTTCGCCTTGAAGTGCCGCCAATTCATCGAGATGATCAACGGAGCCGACGTTGAGAATGCCAATAACAATAACATGCCAACGAATCAGACGTCTGTGATACAGTCCATCAAGGCGTTCAAGCACAGCAAGAGCGGAAATGGCAATGGTAACGGAAACATTAATCAGTCATAACAACAGCAACCGAACAACACTGCGACTCCAGCTGTGATAAAGCCACAAGTGGGCGACAAGGCAGATACGAAAAGCATGCTGGTTGACGACAACTCCAACAAGTGCTTGGAGCATGACAGCAACAGCATGGACGTCGAAATGGAACCCTGCCAGAGTCATTCGAACGGTGGCGGCGGCGGCGACTCCAACTCCTGCTCCAATGGCAATGCCAGCGCCGTTCGCAACTCTCTAGATGCCATCGACGAGGAAATGGACGTAGACGTTTCACCCTCGTCGCGCAGCGGTGGCCGTGTGATCGAGAAGATTCTGGAATTTGGAAAGGAACTGTCCAGCATGGGCCAGCAGCTTGAGAAGGAGAACCTCATGACGGAGGAAGAGCGTCAAATGTTGGAGGATGCATTTAGCTTGATTGCCTACTCAAATCCGTAGTCCAGTCCCTTGGGCTGGCTGCTGTGTCCCTCGCGTCGGTGGAACATCTCCACCACTCTCAACTCGGCCATATTGGAGTCACTTAACTTCGGCCGTCCACCGCTGGAGTATCTGGTGGCTCACGCCTCTGAGCTAATCAAGATCATCGGACAGCACTCGCTGGGCGAGGATGCTTTCATTACCATCGACGACGTGTTCCCGCAAAATTGACCCAGTTCGCCGACGCTGCTGAAGATGTTCGAGACCACGCTGACCCTGCCGCGCACCAGTGTGCTCACAGAACCACCCCTGGGCAGCGCCGGCGTTGGCGGAGCCGGGCCCTCTACATCAACGGCAGCAGTCGCCGTTCAGACGACCAAGCGCCGACGACGACGCCGTAATAAACGGCGCCGCAAGTCCTCACTGTCCAGCAGCACTGATGCACCCACCTCCCGCACCTATGATCCCGTGATGACGGGCAGCAGTCTCCGTTCAGCGGCAGCTGCGGTGGCTGCTTCGGTCAACGTGGGCACAGGGCCAGTGCGTCGGGGTCGGCATCGTAGCAGCGGCAGCGGAGTCAGCTCATCTTCGCGGTCGGCACAGGGAACAGCAGCAGCAGCGTCGTCGGCGGCAGCAGCAGCAGCTGCAAGGGCGGCTGAGGAAGAGGACGCGACAGGGCAAGAAGAAGCGGAGGGGACAGAGAAAGAAGAACCAGTGCGTCCATGTTCGGGGATCCGCAGGATTTCTTCGAGACGCTCGACTAAATTTAGATTATTTACAATTCGTAGTAGGTTAAATTTTGTTGTTACTTTTCCCGCGTTCTCATTTATTTCAAACATAATGCCCTTCTTTTAATTGTTCGAGCGAGTAATATGCTAAAGATGATGATTTCGGAGTGATTTTTAATATTTTAACATTTATGCAACACATATTTTATATAGTCTCTTTCTAAGCGTAAAGTGTGTAATAGTATGATGTATCCTTAAATTTCCCAACTGTGCTGCGACACGACACCTTCCAGAACTTACTTCTCCACGCCCAAAATATAATCTAGAAAGTGAACTAGTTAAGTGTTCATCCATCTAATTAGCATGTTGGAATAGGAAACCCATAGTTAACTGGTATAAACGTAAACGTAGTAGACTCTCCTCCCCCTCGTTCAAATATTTCCCAATTTCCAGTGTTTTCTCTTCGATTATCTCATCATCTTTGTGGCAAGACTAAGCGCGAGCAAATTAAACATTTCAAGTGTAATATTTTCTCTATAGGGTTTAAGCATATTAAATTTACTCTATATATATATAATGTATACACAGATCAGGCAAAGCAAGCGCAGATATACCATTAAACTGGATAATCGTTTAAAAATATATTGTATGGATGTGTATTTCATGAAAAAAAAAAAAAAAATGGCCAACCCCCTTGTAATGGCCCTTTCCGGAACGGACTCACCGGATTAGCTGGCAGCGCTCTGGGCTTCTGCGGCGGCTCTGGTCACGTTCTCGTCGAATAGTAGGTGGCTTCGGCTACTGCGCTACGGCTTAGGCGGTGTTGAGGCGGTTCTCGCGGCTCCGTCGGCTAGGCTACGGCTCCGGCTACTGCGGTGATGGCTCCGGCCATGTGAGGCGGCGGCAAGCGCGGCTCCGGCTACTGCGGTGATGGCTCCGGCCACGCTTCGGCGGCTAGGGGCACTACGGCCGCTTCGGATACGGCTTCGGCTACTGCGGTGATGGCTCCGGCCACGTGAGGTGGCGGCAAGCGCGGCTCCGGCTACTGCGGTATGGCTCCGGCCACGTGAGGAGGCAGCAAGCGCGGCTCCGGCTACTGCGGTGATGGCTCCGGCCAAGCTTCGGCGGCTAGGGGCACTACGGCGGCTTCGGCTACGGCTCCGGCTACTGCGGTGATGGCTCCGGCCACGTGAGGCGGCGGCAAGCACGGCTCCGGCTACTGCGGTGATGGCTCCGGCCACGTGAGAAGGCAGCAAGCGCGGCTCCGGCTACTGCGGAGATGGCCCCGGCCAAGCTTCGGCGGCTAGGGGCACTACGGCGGCTTCGGATACGGCTCCGGCTACTGCGGTGATGCGGCTCTGAGCTACGGAATGGAGGCGGCGGCACTGAGGCGACGGGACTGAGGCAGCTCTGGGCTACGGAATGGAGGTGGCGGCACTGAGGCGGCGGCACTGAGGCGACGGAACTGAGGCGACGGAACTGGGCGGCTCTGGGCTACGGAATGGAGGCGGCGGCACTGAGGCGACCGAACTCAGGCGGCTCTGGGCTACGGAATGGAGGCGGCGATCGGTCACCTCGTCCACCTTTTCCTCGTGGACACGTTCCTTCTTCTCGACTTTTTAGCGAAATCCGTCGCACACGTTTTCATCCACAATTTTTCTGCCGGGTTTTTTCCATTACCATCTCCATTTATAGCCCCGGTTCCTTCCCTCTGTTCCAGAGGTCCAGCCGTTACTTTTCCTATTCCTTCATTTCCTTTGCCGAGAGAAAGGGCAAGAACCCTTTCTCTTAGGCCGCATTTGAACTTCCCGGTTCGCTCATTTTCCTCACCCCCTCCTGGACCAACCAATTCCACCTGTCCCCATCGCTATATCGATAGTCCTTCAGTCCGTTCCCACCCGAAATGCAACATAATTTCTTATTCGTTTTTTCGGTCATTTTCCCACCACAAGGTTGTTAAAAATATCAGCAAAATGAGATGTACAGCTGTTTAAAAAAAAAATTAAGGTTTTGTAGAAAAATACAAATGGAATATTCATGTTTTATTGTTGGTTTTTTTACATAAACATTATTTTGATGATTCACTTTTCTGGCAAATATGTTTATAATATTACCGATACATTGGCCATATTTTCGGTATTCCGTTTTTAGCAGCAAAGGAATTTCCCTTATTGTTTTATAGTATAATTTTAGTATATATGAAAATCCAAAGTAAAACAAAAATATTATTTTCTGTCTGACGGTATTATTTAACAGTAATTCCGCGGTCACACTAAATTAGATGTAAAGTAAATAAAGATTTAATTCAAATATTCTCATTTCCAATTTTTCCTTGGATAGGTTTTATTGTATATTAGATGCAAAATTTCGTATTTAAGTATTCTTTTAAGAATTATTACATGCTGCAAAAAAGGAACTCAATTCATACAAAGGGTGTTGTCCCATAAATTATGTACATATATACATATGTATATATACACATTAAACTGAATTTTATTCCAAACAGTTCTCTAACGCTTTACCATCCGTTTGTTATTATTATTATTTCGTGAAGATTCCTAGTTTGACATCTATCACAAAATTCAAACCGAAATGGCGACATCAAATGCAATTGGATCAGGAGTTGATAGTGCAGTTTCTATTGAAGTCCATCAGCCTAACGCTGAAGTAATCAGAGGACAAATTTTTGAGGTGGGCCCTAGATATACGAAGCTTACGTACATAGGAGAAGGAGCTTATGGCATGGTCGTGTAAGTACGCTTTAACTATGTGGTTTTTTTTTCAGTAAATACCAACAAATTAATAATAATAGTACATAAATATGCAAACGTACCTACATACTATGTATATAACTGTGTACATGGATAAGAAATTTATAAGAAATAACACTTGCAAAAAAACGAAAACAGTAATACATATGTATGTTCGTTGAATGCAAATTTAATGCTTATGTTATATTATGTTATGTTATCAATAAGGATTTAAATATTTGCATGTATGTATATGTACATACACATGTATGTAGCAGAACTCTGGACATTTAAAAAATAAAAGCTGTATGTATGTACAAATTTCATATACATATGTATATGTACATACATATACCCATTGTCCCTACTGGCAGAAATAAATTACAAACATACAGTGTGCTCATACCCTGCAGTACCACATGTCATTGAAAGGGTACTGTCATCAACAATTCATCAATGTGCCTGCTGCGACTTCTACCGAGCCGATTCTCTGCCGCAGCTTTCAGTCGGCAAAAGTGCCAAAACCGACTCTTTCGCGTTCCTTTTTGCTCTCAGTTGATGAATGACATCAGTAAAAATCAGCATTTATAAATGAAGATTCTCTTACACTCTCCCTTTCTTAATAATATAAGCGGAGTGGGTGATTTTTTATTTGCGATTCAACTTATGACGAAGTTAGGAGTAAAAAACATACATACATACATATGTATGTATACAACGTTAAAGAAAGGTTAAATCTTGTAAAATTCCAAATATAGTTTTTGATAAAGCAGTAAATGCATAAGTTAAATAGTTGAATTATATGGAAACCAATTGAAATTATGTACATACATATGTATGTATGTATGTATGTACATATATTAAAAACAGTGGAAATATGTGTGGAAAAACTAAAGGTTAAAATTTAAAATTACGAACTAACTTATACAATTAACAGAAAATTATATTTTTCAAATGCGTTGATGAAACATTAATGAATTGTTATTGAATCATTGATTTTTTTTATAAAGTGTTATTAATAACAGTATAGGACATCTTTATGTTAAATTCATCAGAAATTTGTAAAGATATTCACTGATAATTCATCAACAACAAACTCCTTTCTGTTGATGAATCGTTAAGGAATTACCAATTAATATTACTGCCACAGGACCACATGTCATCAATAGGCCATTGGCATCAACGTGCCGACTGCGACTTCTACTGAGTCGACGCTCTGCCGACTGCGACTTCTAATACACACAACAAGAATTCAGTTGCAGATCGACCGTGGAACGATGAGCAACGATATGTTTACAAGCGCTCGCACGTTTGAATGCGTGTACAAATTTCTGCATGCAGGGTCTTTTTCATACCCTGCAGTACCTTTCATCAGTAATTCATCAACGTTTCATCAACAGTCAAGGGGTGCTGTTGATTTTTCATCGATGACAGGCCATACAAACTGTTGATTTATTTAACATGGGCATGTCCTAGGCTGTCATCAATAAAAATTCATCAACAATTCATCGAGGTTTCATCAACAATTCATCGTTGTTTCATCAACAAATTTCTCAACGGCCGGGCCATGGACTGCCGTCTAGACTACCGCCGTAACAGTTCGTGGGCAGAGCGTCGTAGTAGAAGTCGCAGTTGGCAGAGGGTCGACTCGGTATAAGTCGCAGTCGGCAGAGCGTCGCCTCGGTAGAAGTCGCAGTCGGCGCGTTGATGACATGTTGATGAAAGTGGCCTATTGATGACACGCGGTACTGCAGGGTAGATTTATGACTGCCACAGCCAGTGCGCCGCGGCGGCGGCTCACTAGCTTATGACGTCACAGCAATACTTAGCGGCTAGCGCTTGCATTGGGAGACAAATTATTTAAGTTATCTAACTATAATTACTACTTATTTTAATTTCAGTTTTTTTTTCTGACAATATATTTCCCAAAAGGCATTTTTGACCGACCAGAAATTATTCTTGCATTCCATATTGTAAGAAAACATTTTTATTTGTTTCAGTACATATGCATATTTACATATAAAATTATAATAATTAGGTATTATATACCCTGCAGTACCATTCATTAGTAATTACTCAACGATTCATCAACTATGTCGACGAGACTACCTTCTTAACTGTATCGTGGGCAGAGCCTCGACTCGGTGGAAGTCGCAGTCGGCACGTGGATGACTGAATTACTGATGAATGGTACTGCAGGGTTGTGGTAAGGGCTGTTTCAATTTAGAAGGTCATTTGATAATGTTCCACTGCTTAGCATGGGAACTTTGGAAAAATAAAAATTATGATTACACCATAATTTGCCGTTAATTATATGTGGGAGAAAACAAATTTATTATTTTTCATTATACAGGGTGCGGCACGAAAACTTGCTGATTTGTTTTTGGTGCCAATCGGCGGGGAGTGGTCGGGTAAGGGTGGGGAGTGTCTCATGTTTTAGGGGACTTCCTGAAGTTTCGTCTACACCGCAGTCAGTGGACATCATGCATTGGACGAAAGAGCAGCGCGCATTTGCCTGCGAGGCTTACTTTTTCAACGGTCGTTCCGTAATTGCCACTCAACTCAACATTCATCCTGCAGGTCGCGTTCCTGGCAGGCAGTCGATTGTTTTGTGGGTGAAAACATTCAGGAAGAGCGGGAATGTGACAAAATCCCATCCAGCTCATCGGAGAATAACATTCGGTAAGCAATCGCAAAGATACCCGTCGATATGCTTGAGAGAGTTCAGCTGAGCTTCGAAAATCGGGTATCTCAGTGCATTGAAAACGACGGCCATCACTTGTCCGATGTAATCTTCAAAACTGTGTAATAAAAACTTCAGAAGGTGTGTTACAAGAATAAAAAAAATTTGGAATGGTATATCAACTACTATTTTTTTATAACCTTCTAAAATCAGCAAGTTTTCGTGCCGCACCCTGTATATTCGCTGTATGGTTGAAAACTGAAAAAGTTATAAATTGTAATTGTATTAATTTATCGTTCATTCCTATGGTAGATATATTATGATTCCGATTTTCGATTTAAAACTAATTTATAGAGTTCCTATGGCATGTATATGATATATTCCTCCGATCTGTATTATGACAATCAGAAGTGTTGCCAATTGCCGGCCTGTAAAAAATGACGTAATGGATGACGCAATGGCATCTCTGCACAGATAGTGATACGCTCGGGTCGCCGATCAATGGGAACCAAGCAAGTCACTATATGTCGCAATCAGTTATTTACACATCGAGTGAACAATGAATTCGGAAATACCAAATGCGTAGCTTAAGTCAAAACAAATAAATTAGCTGAAGCTACTGGACTTCTGCAGAGTGGTACAAAGTGGCCGGTTCAACAATGGAATAAATAGAGCGTACCTCGAAGGGGCTCGGCAGGATTTATGCCAAGTGGTGCAGAGCAACCGGGACCGCCACGGGACTCTGCTGGATTTATGGAAACAACTCAGCCATGTTTGGCGGTCAAGGCGGTTCAACGGTATTTGCGTAGCCAATAGGTAGGTTGGGTTTCAGGCCATATTTCAACCAAAATAATGCGGGCTTTTCTCAACCTCACAGCGCTAGAAGAAGAAGAAAGTAACGCAGTCTTTTTGACGCTGACTCAAATAGCATGACGTCAGGTCATATTTCGAGACTTACCTGAATTCTCCGTTTAACCCAAAAAGTGGCCGTTATGTATTGGCACTTGCGGTGTATTATTGTGCAGCTATGTCATTGGGGATTCTGAAATATCTGAATGATTCCGATTTGTTGAGTGAGCTGGTAGCTAAGCTGTCGAGCGATCTGAAGTTAGACTTGGGCAGGTGGCGGAAATTTGTCCAACTTTGATATTTGGCTAATCAGCGTTCTCGACGCTCTGAGATTAGCAAAAAATATACGTAAAGGATTCTTGAGCATGTCAATTTAGTCTAGACTCGTACTAATAATGGGAAAACGACTATGCTTCTATTGCTGTGCAAAGCATTTTGGCTGGAACTGCAGGATGAAGAAGACTTGCAATTTCGATGGATGGATTTTTAGAAAATATTATAACTTCTCCAATTTTGAAATATAGCCATAATATATTAAATTAGAATTTCTGTAAAATTTTACAAAAATCTGGCTACTATATCATATAGCTGCAATAAAAACAATCGTTAGATATAAATCTATATATATATAAATGCTATGTTCGTGTCTACTCCCTTTATAGACTTGAAAAGTTCTGAACCGTTTAAGCCCAAATTTTTACACAACATGCGTTGAGGTTCCAGCTCGGTTATTGTCTACTTTTGATGTTGATAGCTTATCTGCATTTGCGAATATATCAATTTTTCGCGTTTCCCCGTGCCCCTACTGCTGCGCCCTCTACAGGCAGCCAGCTGAATCAAAGCATTTCCTGTCAAACATTCAAAACATATTGAAAGAATAAATTGGAGATAAAAATTTTATTTTTTTGTTCAGGTTCAGTAAGAAACGAAGTCATGCCACCCAAGAAGTGGAGTTTGGGTCGTCGTACTCCCAATACAGAAGCAAACAGACGTAAGATTACGAATATGACTGACGAAGAACGGGCCTCCATCCGAGAGACTGAGCGGCTGAAAGCAATGCAGATGCACAACGAGGAATCAGCAGAAAGACGAGCAGATAGGCTTGAGAGAAAACGATTGAGAGTAAGGCAGTCGCGTTCTGCAGCAATCGATTTGATTCACTCTCAAAATAATGAACGGGACAGGGCAAGGGTAGCTGAAGCGCGTTTACAGCTTGCAGCAGTTCAAAACCTGCAATACAATCGTCTTGCATTCAGATATAATCCAACTGTTGATTACAGCTCGAATCGCAATGTCGTTGGCCGGATGCATCAGGTCTGCATATACTGTCAGGCTCCTTCGATTGAATCAGACGAAACTTCGGTCCGAGGAATATATCCATTTGCGGGATGCTGTGATGAATGACCGTAATACAACCAACGTTGGAAAGCTCACGATTTTGCCATACTCATACATAGGTAGTCCACGC